CCTTTATCTGGATTAGGAACTAGAGTGGACTTTTTATTTCTATTATGTAGAGCTTGTTTACTCTAGCAAGTGATACTCGGAATCTGCAAAAAAATAGTCCGATCTGTTGAGAAAAAGTGGGTTTATTGACAACCCTATATTTTTGAAAATAAGTTCGTCTATCATATTAAACTTCATGATTTCGTGCGCAAGCGGTTATTTTGCATTGTAGGCAGTTCATGTAACTTTTGTTCAACTTTTGAAGCAGTAGCATAACACTATGAGTTATTGTAATTATTCTAAAAAATGAAAAAAATATTTATCTCATTGATTAAAAAAGTCTCACAATTATTTGATTGCTGAAAGTTAGCGCATCGAGTAGAAGTTTTTCCTGTACTCGAATTTTTCACTTTATGACATAAGAGTGTCACTTTGTAGCCAAGGGCGTGAGCACTACATTTCCCAAAAGTTCGACTGCTTTTGTAAATTGCATTCTGGTCTTAAAGCGGTTAACCAAGAAAATAGCTTTATTTGTAAGTTTTAGTGTCTTTGTTCAAATATTATTGACAAAGAAATGTAGCACATCTTGATGTGCTGCGCTTTACTGAGTTTCATCAATATTTTAGCTACTATAGCTACAGTAATATTCTCATTTCCCTAGTAAAAGAGGCAAATTAAAATGTCCGAGTTTGACCAATTTCTCCCGGCCACTCCGCATTGTACTTTGCAAACGTGGGATTACTTATACGTTCGTACGTGGGAAAATAGAGCCAAGTTCACACGGAAAAGGAACTTCAAGAATGTATTTGGAGCACATAGCACAAAAGTCAGTGATCAAATTTTTGCTGGAAGCTAATGCAGTATGCAATTTTGACTTGACATGCCATGAACATTCTTGTTCCCCGTAATTATACAGAAAATTTTTTTATGTTTTCGGAAAGTTTTATTCCATTAATTGCTTTCGGTGTTGTTTTATGACTTGCCCAAAACATGGCAACGTTTGCTTGCGAATGGCATGGCTAAAAAGGCGGACACAATCATTTTTCTTGCTTGGAAACTTTCATTCTGACATCATGAAATTACCAAGCACTTTCAACAAACAGTTCAGCAAAAACGTGAGACGCTAGGATAGATTCTCTTCTTCAGCAACATGTCATGTTCGTAGTCCTTTAGATTTCTTCACATACATACATTTCTTCAAATTGTCTTCTCTTTATTTTACTTTTTGGTTTTGCTTTCTTCTGATTATGCGGATGCGGTAATATATTCTGCTTTCCTACGGTAAATATTTCTTTAAGGTTCATGGACGAATTGAGCTATTCAATAGCAACCGAAGATGACCGAAAGGGGATCCGAGAGTTTCTGATGAAACATTTTCTCAAAGAAGAAACCATGAATGTGGTAAGTATTTACAGCAAGGTTTTGAATTTGCATTTTTATTTCGAAAATAAAGTTCCTTGTAATAGGCGACAGGTATCACCGAGGAAGAATTTGCTCCATTTGCCGACAAAGTCCTTGACATAGCGTTGCCAACACCATTCACTGTCATTTGTCGAAATGGTAAGTGACAGAATTTTTTTAATAAGATATTTTATCATTACCACTACTATCTTATAATTATCTTATTTCACAGGGAATGGAGATATCGTTGGTGTGGCGGTGAGCACGATTTATCGCCGAGATGATCCGGAATTTGTAGACCCACTCGCATCCCCACAGCGGCCTGAAATAGCTGCGATTGGTAAGGCTTAGTCCGAGTCGATGGCATGTTGTAATCCTGCGGAGCAGACGCGAGCGTGACAGTCCGTTGTATCATCGTTGGAGCGCGTCGAGTGCAGAGAGCAGGGAATACTTTGCTAGCGCGTCGCGTGCGCTTCGCTC